CTACGATCTGACATCCTTCCGTAATGAAGGAACCGGCTTCTTGAGGGTGTCCCGAGTTCTGGTAATGCTTAGTCAAACTCAATTATAAACGAATAAATCACGAAAATACAGTGAACCTCCTCTATTCGTACTAAATTCGTCTAGAGTAACAGAGGTAAATGATCAATGGAAATAAACGGGAATTATATGAGATCTCTAATTAATTTATAGCTTTTAATTTTATTTGTTATAAAGGCATTGCGGCATATGTCGCGTTTGTATTCGATCATTACCGGTTTCGGTATCTACTTAACAAGGGTTGAGTTCGTCTACTGATGTCGACAAAATGGTGTTAACGTGATGATCGCTTATGCCATTATCTTGTCTCATATCTACGTGTAGGTTAGGTAAAAAAAAAAAAGGTTCTTATGACGTAAGAACTTATAAAATTTATACATATTATTGAAAACTTAACGGAGCTCAGGGAAATCATAAGGTGGTGCCTGATGGTAGGACCTCTTGTGAGTCCGCACGGGTAGGTACCACCACCCCGCCTATTTCTGCCGTGAGGCAGTAATGCGTTCATATTGAGACCTTAGAACTTTTATCTCAAGGTGGGTGGCGCATTTACTTCATAGATGTCTATGGACTCCAGTAACCACTTAACACAAGGTGGGCTGTGAGCTCGTTCACCTATCTAAGCAATAAAAAATAAACAAAAAATTAGCAAATATTTTATAAAAATCACGCGATCCGCTGAAATTGGTTGCCTGCTTTGCTCGAACCTGTCAGTTTGAACAAGGTTGTCTGAGTTAAAATATGCCAGTAAAATGTTCAGCTTGAAATCTGCGGCCACTTAACTAAGAGCTACAAACTATAATGACATTAAAAACATTTAAGAAGAGTTACATTAATTAATTTCATGATTTCTTGTGATGCCAATGATTTTAACTAGTCACCTAAATCGATTAGATATTGTTCGATTAATATTAAAAATCTCATGTCGATCAGTATGTGCCACAGATTTGATATATTAATACAGTGCATTTCAAAGATAGACAAAACATAATCTACACCGCTGCATATTGATTAGATAGATATCCCAATTTCGATGGCAGGGAACGTTCGAGCCTTCCTGACTAATTGTTATTGGACCTCACTAAAGCGTCTACGTAAAAAAAGAAAAAAAAAGGTTCGTTGCCTTTTGTGTATTCGTATAGTTATTTACCGCTGAATATTATAGCAAGCGCTTTATTTTGATGCGACAATACCTATCTTTTTTGTAATACGCTTAGGTACTTGTATGCAAAAGAAAATCAAATAATGTCGTAGGTACCAATGAATTTCATAAAACGACGTGAAACTATTAATATTTTTTATTTCGAATAAAATCTTCTACATCTCAATCACAATCGCAAATTTTTTGATGATCACTTAAAGTTTATTCACAATACATCCATAAAATAGGCCTTTGTTACCAATGTTGTATTTCATAGATGTGGACGCGCGCAGCGCTATCTGATGATTGGTTTTTGGCAATTACCAGTATTACTCACATCCCAATCGAGTTCGTTCACCGCGTGAATTATGTATTGAATCCTCTTTGTAACATACAGTCACTTACTATGAAATCCATTTTAGTTTTTTTTTTCACAATTTTTGTCGCGATTGTGTTGATTTTGTTTCGGAAGCCAGCGGACACGCTTCGTTCCAACGATTTGTAAGAAAAGAAAACAAGTTTTAGAAAATTGCTAGACAATTTACTTTAACGTAAGAAACCATAAAGGTGTTAAAACACATTGCAAGATGTCAAAAAGCTTTTACACGAAACTAATGATCGGCGAATGGACATCCGTTTTCAATTTACTATTATCGATGTTACAATTTACTTGACTAATTGCTATTCATTTAATTAGTTGTGTATCTGGTTATAAGCACGTGCATGTACATATTTTCTTAGCTGTATAATTACTACACATGTTTCAAAGGTAATAATTATTTTCATTATCCGTAACGACAAGTCGACTGCGACCTGTCGTCCCTTTATTGACATTTAAATTTATATTACATTTGCACAGGAGAAACTTGTACCTTGAAAATATGCGTGCGACATGTTAAATTACTCTCGAATTCAGTTTGTCTAAAATATAACACCGTAATGGGACGTTATAGAGTTTAATTTTGCTTGTCTTTTAATGACATCAATAGAATTAAACCCTTTGTCTCAAGGCGTCGGAACACTGGGCACCGCGTCGTTTGGCATTTGTAAAGGTTACCTCCATTCTGACGGTTTTCTTTTTACTTGCTGACATAATGTCGGATTGCTGAAGAAAGGGTGTTATTGTGTTTGATAGTGAAGTAACCTTTGTGTCTCAGGGAGTTTGTAATTCGATAATAAAACATCGATATAGTTTTAATTAATTAGAAGATATCAACAACGTTACTGGAACGAAGTTCCTTATCGTGCGTTGGAAAAAATTCTTACGAAAAGTTGTCACGACACTTTTTAGATCCGTCATTCTGAACAATCAACGTGTAGGCGCTTATCGCGTGACATTGCTCGTATCTGATTGGTCCGCGTAATGAGTACAGTTTCTCGAGATAGCGTTTCAACAATAGTAATTTAGTTCATAGTATTGTTTTTTTTTTCTTCATAATGCCGTAATTTATTATTATAACTTAAAAAAATATTACAATTCCTTCACTAATTAATCGAAAGGAACTTCGTTCCATCCGGGTGTCCCTTGACACCTCTGAAGTTTTTCTGCTTTTTTTTTTAGCCCGTGTAGGCAGACGAGCATACGGCCCACCTGATGGTGAGTGGTTACCGTCACCCATGGACTTCAGCAATGCCAGGGGCAGAGCCAAGCCGCTGCCTACTTTTTAGAGTTACTAATTAATAGGCTATTTTTAACTATTATTTTATCCTACCCCAGTACAGAGGAGTCACATAATAGTCAATAACAGAGATGGACATAAGGTCAAGTGTAATTGGTTTTTTAATATATTAAAGTTACAAGCTACAATTTTTATCCTACAATTTTTGTAAATTAATATCTACCTAGATAAAGTCAAACAAATCGCACACAAATTCGTATAGACGCGTCTTTTTTTAATAACTGGTTTACCCTTTATTCTTTCGAAGCCGAGAATTATGATGCTCATTTTTAGCGAAATAAATTTATTTACCGTAATTACGGAAATTACTCAAACGTCAAAGATATTCGTAACACTATCGGTTAAGATAAATTGATAAGTTGCTCACGCGAACCGTGGGCTTGAGAAACAACGGAAACTAGTTGTTTATAATCGGATCATAAAATTTATGAATTCGCGTAAACCTAGTAGCAGTATTGTGGGTCCATACGGGTAAATGCTACTATCCTGTGAAACTGCTATTGCAAAAAACAGTTTTATAAAATACAAATTCCCGTCACTTTATTTCTTAGCACTGACTAGATTGAAACTTCAATAATATAGAACAAAAAAAATCAACAAAATAATGTATTAGCATAACCTAGAATATACTTTACTACTTTAGGAAAAATGTACACGTTCTAATCCCGTTTTTTTTTTTTTTTTTTTTTTTTTTTTTTTTTTATGATTGATAGTTTGCTGGTGGCCCGAAGGCCTTTCCAGTTTCACCAGGACAGGTGGGTGAGCAAAGGATCAGCCAAGAGGGGCGGGATTTGCTAACAACTGCCCGAGCGCCTCCGAAGGAGACCTAACAACTCAAGAGCAATTGCTTCGCGAATGAATCTACTACCGGATCGGAATCGCGACCCGCTGAGAAGATCCGGCGAGAAACTCAGCGAGCTGATTCATGGATTAGGTTGCACGTCGAACTCTTTTTCGAGCTCGACGAGTACGGTTACCAGGGTACCTAAGCCTGCTCCTGGTGTTAGAGCTGAAGGCGTCTAATGCAAAAGTTATTGGATCTGATGTATCCGTAAGGACGTGTACGACTTATTCTCGCGTTTATGATAGCAACAATATTAATTTCCCAATTATATAGACTGTCAATGAGGAAGACGTGGCACTGCCACCTTTCTTATACTGCGTCTTGCGTTCCGGATTGAAGGATTGAACAGTCGTTATACGATTCAATCTTATCCCTCAAGGTGGCAGCATTGACTTAATTATTTCTATGGGCTCTAGTGACTACTTTACATCAGGTGGACCAATAGTTCGTTTCCAAATCTTTGCAATCAAAAGATACACTTGATACACAATAATAAGAGCCAACAATAAGTTTATTTTATTGCATAGACGGGAATAAAACTTGAAGGCCACTATTAATTATGATATTTGAGCTCTCTGTCTCCTCTGTATATATTGGTAATCACGAAAATTATACTTTTTGCGGCCCATATTTTATTCCAATATACTATTCCTTCGTCGTAAACATGAGCTTAGTACGAATTTAGTAAGTAAAATAGGTACCTACCTACGGGATTTCAACACCGGCATAGTCGCATCGCTCAATGCTAGTGCACCTTCTGGTCTTATTCTATAAGTCACGTCGACTTTTACAAGGTAAAAAAGTAAAAAGGACTTTTTTTTTCAAATTAAATCTCTTTTAGCACACTTGAAACAGTATATTGAACTTTAAGTTCGCACGAGTACAAAACAAAGACTAAAAATAATGTTTGAATTCATTTATGAAATTTCTCAGTTTCTGTATACTAACATAGAATTCAATTAAAAGAAGCTATGAAGGGAACATCTATAACTGTTAAGGGCAAAATACTGGTAAATAGGATCGAAATCGAAAAAATAATAGTATTAATGTTGGAAATAAATAACACGGCGGGTAAGAAGACAATGGTTTAGTAACGAGATCTCTTGTTAATTGCGGTGAACGCGAACCGAGCCACTGATCAAAGATTTATAGAGGCATTGAAATTACACCCTATTTGTTCTTTTCAAAGAGCACGATCGGTGTGTTGCATGAAACAAAAACCATTTGAATAGATATTTATGAATCATAAATTATATTTTACTTGTTAGTAAAAACTTACCTCGCAATTTCTGTTCGTCGACAAGTTGTCTTTCGAGATTATCTTTCACTTCTCGTTCTCTTAGGACGTCCATTTTCAGTTCAGCTGGAGGAAAAATAAAGAGAGATTAGCTATAGAAAGTATGTAATAACACTATTTTTTATTATCTTAATTTTTGCTCAGGCTTCGGCAATGCCATGTTTTTCTAACAAAAATACTGACTCAACTTTACTGCTGGTAGGACCTCTTGTGAGTCCGTACGGGTAAGTGCCACCGCCCTGCCTATTTCTGCCGTGAAGCAGTAATGCATTTCGGCTTGAAGGGTGGCGCAGCCGTCGTAACTATACTGAGATCTTAGAACTTATATCTCAAGGTGGGTGGCGCATTTACGTTGTAAATGTCTATGGGCTCCAGTAACTACTTCACACCAGGTAGTCTATGAGCTCGTCCACCCATCTAAGCAATAAAAAATAAAAATAAATAGAAATCAGATACTGTGTTACAGAGCTCAGGATCTCTAAGATCATCGATGAGATTAAAAAGAATCAAAATATTTTTTTATAACTTTTAGTTTATTTATTTTGGTTCATGTTAAGAATAGCACTACCACATCTTTTCTCGTGAGTGTCTGTAACGGTAACTAAGTTATTCACTGGAGACTGGGCGGCAGCGTTCTCTGAGTATCATACCAGCGTACCGTGATAGACTATCGACATGTATTGGTCCTATACTGGGCATATTGTAAGTCCAGTGGTAGTTATAACCGTTCTGCCTATTTCGGTCGTGAATCAGTCATGCGTTCTAATTTAAAAGGTGACACAGTCGTCGTATAATGCAATTGAATCTTCGACCTCATGTCTCAAGGTGAGTGGTAGCATTGACGTTATGTTGTCAATAATTTAAAAATATTTCTCTATTCTTCAACAAATTATCGTTCATTGAAACTTATCTCTATTAAATAAATTTCCAGCTAATGTTATCATAAAGAACGTTTAGAATTAAATAAACCGTTCGCTGTTCACAAAAGGTATTGTATGAATTTAACAGTGAGTTAAACCGGTAACAAGGTCTTCTAAGGGGCCGATTAGGAGTATAAACACGGATTAAGTCATTCGGAATCCCCGTACTATTATTGTGAAGGAGTGAAATCGGGAGATTTGCATAACTTTCAATTAAACCTGACTGCCTTGAAATTACTGGGGTAAATGTTTCTAAATCTAAATTTGAGAATTATTACTTGGACGCAGCATTTCTTGTGTTAACGGATACTTAAACCATTGTAGTTGAACGTAAACATTTATTAAGACAGTTTTGTGTATAGTATACATAAATAGAGAAAAATGCATTTCATTAAAAGAATTCTATAACATAGTTTTCCTACACTTCTAAAATCCAAATAAAAGATATTTATGTACGGATTTTTCTATCTATTTTTATGCTACAACTGTTATTATTATTAATTTAGTAATAAATGATTTAAAAACACGATGTGAGTAATGTTATTTTATTTTTAAACAGTTCATGAATTTGTCTAAGTTCTGGTAGAATGTCTAAGTTTTAAAATTAAAAAGTTACACTCGGAATATTTAATGAATCGAGTCCCCAATTTTATTGAATCCTTGCGCATCGATCGTAATAGCAATCCGTATGGTGATGGCGTTAACGATGGAGCGAAATTTGAATAGAAAGAGGTCATGTCGTTCATAGTTTAATTTGGTCCCTTATTCAATTAGGTATCTGCGCTGCGTCTATCTAATGGAGGTCGTAAGGGGATCAAGCTGATTAACTTGCGTTGTTATCACCTACGGTAACTACACATAGCAATCGCTACATTAATTAGAATTGAATTCTTTGTTTAAAATATATGACAATCTATTTCAATTTTATAACGTTGAATTTATTTAAATCTTTCGTAGTTCAGCCTTAACATGCAAATGAAACTGCCTTAATACATTGCACAACAACAAAAAAACGGAATAAAGTAATAGGAACGGAAAAGTCATGTACGGACCTATTTACATTTATGTATATATATTTCGATATTTAGCATATATGACAAAAAATTTAGAACTTTTTTATTTGTTTATTGCTTAGATGGTTGGACGAGCTTACAGTCAGGCACCTGGTGCTAAGTGGTTACTGGAGCCCATAGACATCTACAACGTAAATACCGCCGCCCACCTTGAGATATAAGTTCTAAGGTCTCAGTATAGTTACAACGGCTACACAACCTTTCAAGCCGAAACACATTACTGCTTCATGGCAGAAATAAGCACGATGGTGGTACTTATCCGTGCGGATTCACAAGACGTCCCTACCACCAGGGATTACGCAAATTATAATTTTGCGGGTTTGATTTTTATTATACGATGTTATTCCTTCACCGTGGAAGTCAATCGTGAACATTTGTTAAGTACGTATTTCATTCGAAAAATTGGTACTTGACAGCGGGATTCGAACCCCGGTGCATCGCAAGATACGAATGCACAGACATACGTCTTATCTTTTAGGCCATGACGACTTCATTATTTATATTCTGTATTTTGTCAGTACTGTTAAAAAATGGATAGATTTGACTTGCACGGTGTTCATGAAAACATTTATCATTTTTAAATTTAGACTTAAATTTGTTAATGGCTTATAAAAATGAAACTATATTGATATTTTACGTTTTAGAAGTTCACTACTTTAGATACTACCGGGTCAATAAACTTGTATTTTGTAATACTTTTTTGCCAACACACCAATCTGTGTATTACTGATAATTAATACCCGCTTTTCAAATGCATTCATTTAATTGTAATTGTTATTGAGTTATTGTTGTAACGATTGTTTCAAAATTTATTGTGAATTAAACAGGACCAAACCCAGTTCACAAAATTAAACTAATTAATTTGGGTGTTTATCTTCTTGATGTTGGTCCCGCAAATATCGTGTTATATTCAATGCAGTGCTCGCTCGGTAATCTGTTAGCGTTTTAATTATTCCATTGGAATTTAACATAATACAGTGTTACTATGTACCCAATTAATGTTGTTTTATTTACGCATATTATGCGGAAGTTTACTGGTGGTAGGACCTCATATGAGACCGCACGGGTAGGTACCACCACCGCGCCTATTTCTGCCGTGAAGCAGTAATGCGTTTCGGCTTGAAGGGTGGGGCAGCCGTTGTAACTATACAGAGACCTTACAACTTATATCTCAAGGTGGGTGGCCCATTTACGTGTTAAATGTCTATGGGCTCCAGTAACCACTTAACGCCAGGTGGGCTGTGAGGTCGTCCACTCATCTAAGCAATAAAATAAAAAAAACTTTAAGTGTGCGATTTTTTACTCTCCAAGACGATTGCGGACCGCTTTGTATATTTACTGAGCAAGCCTTGACTATATATTGAGTGGTTACGGTTGTCACGGATATTGGCACTGCCTAGGCAATAGTTAAGACGATGCCTGTCGCTAAGGATTCCTCTAAATCCTCGTTTGACTTAATAGTTCAAGAGAACTATACATTCTGGAACTAATCGGTAAGCCACAGTAATCATCACTGGAAACTCACTATGGACAAACATTGTGGTTCCAGTTATTATGGACAAACTCTGCTGCGAAGATGGCGGTTTTTTTCAGCCCACAGACGTCCATAGATGAATATAGGCCTCCCCTGAGGTTCGCCACATAATATTAAATCGACTTATGCTATTTTTCCAAAATATTACTCTTCTCTCTTTTTATTCACGGATGCCATATTCATTCTATAACACATCAACAGATAAGAAAATTTAGCTATATTATCATAAGTAATTGAAATGGAATTGCTTTACAGCGTGCTAGGGGTATAAAGCTTGATTAACACAACCTTCTGTAGTCCGATGAAATTTTCATCAAAAATAATGAGCTAAACAAAATCTTCTCTGTATGATTGTTGAAATGTTCACGAATGTAATTAATTAACGTGCAGAATACGAAAACATTATACGTGGTCACGTATCGATTGTCGAAACGGTATCAACATTAAAACAACTACGCAAGTGAACAAGAACTGAATGAGCAAAACAAAACACATCGCCGATATAAATCTACAATGGAATGAACATACATGTAAAATGCTCGATGAACTTAGTTGTACTCATGCAGCGTATCAAGACACAAAAATCTTCGCGATAAAACGGAGACAAGTTAACTTGTGCCCGTAGCGGCTATAATAAGGCTCCGGGATAAAGGTATGAGTATCGCACAAAAGCTATCTCGGAATGGGATCTTGTAAATTGAAACGTTGCATTCAATAGCGCAGTGTTTCTTTATAATAACAGATCTTATTAGTTCTCGTGAGTGCAGTAGGAGCTACCCATTAGTAACTCCGTTGGTGTGACCTTTTCCAAAAAGAATCTTGTGACTGTAGTTCGTAACTATGTAACCTGAGATCGAAGGGTGTTCTGTGAAAATAGTCCATCCGACTATTGCTCATAAGATACAGATTTGCGAACTTGAATTTAGTTTTTTTTTTAAGATAGGTTCTTCTATTATTCTCCCTAATTTCTATTTTGAGCTCACTCGTGCTTATACCGTCCATCCAGGGACTCACTCGCTCCAGCTTAAAGAACAGAACTGTTGCGCTTTCGATGACAGTGAGTTCGAACAAATGTATTAAAGGGAGCAGTGAAATTCATTGTATACCAATAAACACTTAGCAATAGACGATAAATAATACGATAAAGATTTCAGCTCATCAAAACTAATTAAAAAAATTATTCAATACATTCAAGAAAAGTAATCGGAAAATTAATGTGAATCAATCCGAGGGTCTTATATAATTTAGAGGGCTTTTAGTTAAGAATGGTTTCGCACATGAGACGTAAATTAAGTTTACCGAGGGATGGCCATTAAGAGCCCGCGTCGGCATGCAGCCTATCTCGACATCTCGCGATTTGTGAGTAGAACCGTCTTAACAAAAGGCCATTCCCGATGGTGGTCTCTTGGCACTTAGTGGCACATAATCTTTGTTTGTTTCCATTAACGTTCCCACTAATACGTACTATGTAATTACCATTATTGTTTTTCTTAAATTTAATATTAACGATTTGAATAAAGTAATAATCAAAAGAATTTG